TACCTACGATGTTTGTGGTCAGTAGTAATCCATGACTTTAAAAAAGGAAAAAAAAAATCATTGCGATCTTTTGTACCGAGCCGCTCTGCCCGAGCTATTCTGCACTAAATATGATACACAATCTTGAAGTTCGTAAATTTTGCCAAAAGGAATCCTGAAAGCCTTTAAAAAGCACAACCAATGAACAACCAGCAATTCATTAAGGTCATTGCCGTGGAAGAATGGCCATCGTAACCAATATTGCGTTGCTGGAAGACGGTACAATTAGTTCTCAGGTTATGCTGCCGTAAAACGCTTGGAATAATTGTTTTTTTCCATTATTGACTAGTTTTAGAGAGCAGTTTTTTACAGCTAATTTGAGCTCATCTCGGGGGTCGACAAATATGTGCGTAATGCCATCTATCACGTTTATTGCTTCCAAAGTTGTAAAGTTGAAGCCTAAATGCTGCAAACTTTACATTTGATTTCGAAACAGCTTTGCCTCGGAACGTTAGAACAACACACACGTGGGAAATGCCAATTTGATTTGTGTTTGTCCGGCTACACCACCGGGTAACCAATTTAGCTCGTCAACTAGGATACTCGCTATTGATCTTACGTAACTTTGAGAAAAACATCCATCATTGAGATCTATGTACTGCTTGGCTCAAGCCCTTTAGCTCCTCAACCAATATATTTGTGGATTTATACTCCGATTACAGCCAATGTTCGGTCAGCATAAATCAGACAGGAGATGAATGGCCATCTGTGGGTTATTACCACACTGTTTACCAAACTGCAGCGGGGCGGTCCTGTGCGTGCAAATTACCAACTATCGGGATGCTGTGATGCATCGCGCTGGCCTCTCCACGAGAACTCGTGAGGTTTTTAAACAGGCAAACGACCCAGTGTGCCGTAAAGGGCAGCGTTGAGAAATAAGATTGAGTGCATAAGCAGAGGTATTGTGTGAACATTTATAATGTGCGAAGCGTGGGTCTCTTGGAAATTCGCTCGGAATGCACGTAAAGATCGAGTAATCACACAAAGGTTAATTACTTCCTTTCCCGAGGCTTCATTTTCTGTTACAAAGCCCTTCACTCGTTATGCTTCCTCTCTTAGTGCATCTCATGGCCCATTTTGCTCTGGATTCAATCTACAACGGATGTGGAGAAAACTCTGTAGTGTCGAGCGTCGCAGAGGTAGTAGCTTCAAAGAACGGACGTAGGGAGGTGGACCGAACACCTGCTGTCGTACTAATTCCCACGGATAATACGATTCTTCAGCTACTCATTTGCCCTCGCTACCAGCAGCATTAAACTATCGCCCTTTCCGTATCCTTACCACCACCGAAATCCACCGCCATCCCGTCCCCAACTACCGCTCCCACCGTGTCGCTTTGGGGAGAGCGCGCCCCTTCCACCACCCTCTCCCCGCCGCCATTGGTTGTCGCAAAGTCGTGCAAGTCACCCTCTCATCTAGCTTCGGAAGGCGCGCGGCAATTTTTCTACGGTGTAATGGAGTCGGCGGCGGCGGCGGCGGCGGCGGCGCGGTGTCACGTACGCGGCGCGGCGGCGGCACCAGTGGCGCAGCGTGCAGCCCCCGTTCAGCCTGCAATCTGCGCCGTGCACTGGAATGCACTAATGGCGGCGGGGCCGTCGCTACCGCCGGTCGTAGCGGTACCCGTCGGCCGGCCGACTGTCTGACCTGGTGCCATGGAAGAGTTGCATGATGCCGGCTCCTATATGAGGTATTTATGGCAACTGGCTTGGTTTGCCCGTGGGGTTGGTCTGAGAGCTGGTAAAGACGAGCAAGTTTGGCCCTTGAAGACACAATTAATGCTGAGATCGCAACGCCGGTTGTGTTTGTTTATTCAAGCTGCTTCATACACGTGTAGGTACCTACGTGAAATCGATCCAAATATGGCCAACATATTAATTGTCTCACAATTTCCATTTTGAGATAACAGAGCGGATTTGAATTCACTCAGAATAATAATTTATAGATAGTAATTGGCATTGAATAATAACGTGTGAAAAAAGACAGCAGCTTACCAAGAAAATCATTTTTAATAGGCCGATACTACGAAATGCTGCTAAATTTGCTAAAAGTAGATGCTTTTGTCCCAGCGATAGGGTGGTTGAAATGGTAAAAAGAGTTAAGAATATAAGCGATGATACGTGCAATATGCCGACCGTAAGCACCAGAACCAATATTTCATACGAGTTCCAATAAAGCACGTCAGGGGTTCGAGAGCACTCGCTCCCCACACCACTCTAACTTTCGAGGGCCCTCCAAAACTCGAGTGCCCTCTGATCAGATAAACACGACTGAATTGAATCGGCTTTGCGGGAGAAAATTCAGGCAACGAATCTCTACAATCTTCGCATTCGGACAGCTTTCAAACTTGTGATGTTTCAGATGAACGTGCTGAGGTAAAATCTTGAAAATACATTAGTAGCAAACGTTACAGGGTAGCATTGAAATGATCCTAAAATATTCATCGCTTACTGCTTGAAACAAAGAAACCAATGCAGACTTCGATGTGTTTCGAAGCTGCGGATAAATAGTAGCCGTTTTCACGACGGGCTATCCGGCGAGTGCACCTAATTTGACCAAATCTGCACCTAATCTCTTTTACAGCAAATATCTTTATTTTATGAACTTATGTCAGTATTCTAATCGATAATACTCTCTGATAATATAACAAAGCAGGCATATCAGCAATTAGTGCAACCCTAGCTGATAGCTACTAAGAGGCACACTGAACCTAATTTGACCAAATCTACACCTAATCTGCACCAAATGTGTACCAGATTGCCGTCGTGAAAACGCCTATTGTAGACTTGAAAACAGTCATGTCCTTCAACGTAACGAAAACTCAGACGTCCAGTCATCGGTAGGACGTTCAGCGGCTGTCCACCGCCGTCGGTCGTAGTGTCGGTGACCCTCCCTCGTCGATCGTCGCTGTCCAGTTGACCACTGCTGATTGGTCGCCCGCGGGCAGCCGACGCCGCCGGCGTCCAATCAACGGTCCCCGGCAGCGACGGAGGAGGGATGGGGGGGGGCACATGGCTGGAAGAAAGAGAGAGAGAGAGAGGGGAGGGAGAGGGAGAGAGAGAGAGAGAGAGAGAGAGAGAGAGAGAGAGAGAGAGAGAGAGAGAGAGAGAGAGAAAGAGAGGAAGGAGGGAGAGGGAGAGGAGAGAGAGGGAGAGGGAGGGAGGGAGGGAGGGAGGGTGAGGAAGGGAGAGAGGAGGTGGCGAGAAAATGCAGTCAGCGATCATTAAAATCTACCGTTACCCCACTGTAAATGAAAGAGACGACCATGGAAGCAAGATACATGCTCGTGGAGGAAGTGGCTGAGCCAGGGTGGCGGAACCATATGCCCAAACCGTTGCGACCAGCTCCCATGCACACGTGTGACGTGTACACCGCCCCGGGCGGCGGCAGTGGAGCTGCGTCCGCTGCACGTGCAGTCGGCTCTCATGGGGCTCATTTGATGACGGATTGCCCTGCACTTGCTCAGTGTTCACAGGACTGCAGGAAGGACCCACTTCCGCCCGAGAGCATGGGGCTCGCGTTTCGGTGGTCTGATTGGCGTGGGAGAGGGGCTGACGGAATGGGTTATTACAGTGCACTGTGCCGGGTGGCAGTATTTATAGGGATATTGTGGTAAAATGGCGACACGAAAATGTGCGTGTAATACATGGTATTGTAATAGTAAAAGGCTTGCGCTATTAATTTAATTTGTGTCGCAGACGCCGTTTCGCTCATTAACTTCAAGAGTCTCTCTGCACCGTTCACACAGTTGCAGGCAGGTTTCGAAAGCTACTGGTGCAAGGGTGGTGGCATTAACGTTAAATATACTGATGGTGTGCAGTTAATAGAATACGCTGAGGTGCACAGCGCATATCCATGCATTTCCAGGAACAGGAATGGGTTCATTACTCGGGCCCTGGACTTATCTCGGGAAAAGTGGAATTTTACGGTTTCAATTTTGTTATTATAATCCTGGCTCGCAAAATTTGTCACATTGTCAACGGCTTGTAAGGCTATCCAATAGGTAGGCATTGGTATCTATTTGCAATAAATAGTAAGCCTATTAACAGACATGAGACAGGTGCACTATTGCAATTCCTTTTTATGCTCATTGCGAGTGAACTTAGCCAGAGCTACGTTATCTTCAATTTTATTTATCACTAACATATTCATTAGAGCTGCTTCTTTTACAAGTCCACGCATTACTTCCTTCGGTATCTGAGCATACCGTACGGTCGTCATCTCAACTTGTTTTTCCGCGTGTCGGGCCCGCTTCCCCTGCCCCGTGGCGCCGCGAAAACAGCCTACGGCGCATGCGCGGCCGCCGGCGGCGGGGCCCCCGGCCGGTCCCACGGCGTCGCCCAAGGTCCAGCGTCCGGTCACACAAAGGGCAAACGGCCGGCCGGCGGCGGCGCTGCATTGTGCAACGCCCGCCGGCCCCGCCAAGGCCCCGGGACGCCCCCCAGCGGCGGCGGGCCCGACTCGCTCGCGGCTTTTCGCGGTCAGCGGGCTCCGCGCCCGCCGCATTCCACAGCCAGTGACGCTGGCCGCGGCGCCAGCGCGCGCCGGCAGCGGCCGCCGCCCGGGCACACATGTCCGCGCCGCCCCGACTGGTTTTCTAGTTTCCTGCAATGCTCACTAGAGAAATCCCCTCAAATCGCCTGCAGCGCCAAATTAAAAGCACTGTTAATTCTGAGATAAGGTGGCTTCATTCCTTTACCTGCAGATCCCGAAGATACAGGTATGGGCAGGGCTTTGCACAGGAACAATTACCAATGGCTGGCTGAATTTGCCAACTATTTCTCATTATTTCCACCGTACAACCCTTTACTTCCATTCAGCTGGCTAACTTCGCACGGACGTGTGAAAATCTGAGCGGCGAGGCGCCCTCTGAAATATGACACCCTGTCTGGCACCCTGCCCGAATCCTCCCGTCATCGAAGCCTCTCCGCCCCGGCGCGCCCGTCCCCAGCCAGCCAACAGCTGATTCCAGGCGATAACTGGGCGGCGGGCGGGCGCCGATGGCCGGGGGCTCAGAACAGTGCTCGTGCCCGCCGGCAGCGGTTTACTGACACGCAGTGGGGATAGTTCGCCTCCATTTGTCGTTATTCCTGCGGCGATAGCATTTCCGTGGAGCCAGCGGCGGCCAGCCGGAGCGGCGGACGGGGGTCGGCGGGCGCGCGGCAGGTGCCGGTCTGGCTGGGGACGGGCGGCCGGACCCCGCGCTGACCGGCGGGCGCATTCGTGAACAGGCCCCGCAGGCAAGAGGTCGCGTTGCCGGGGGCTCCGCCGCGGGCACCAGCTCTGGACACCAGCGGCTCGCAGCGCCGACCCAGCCGGCCTTGAGGGCACGTCACGGCCAGCCACCCTTCAAGGTCGACCTCGCAGCCCAGTGCGCGCCGCCATTTTGAGGCGGCACCTGTGCGGCCGGCCGGCCAAGTCTGTTTACCTGCGCCGAGCCGCCAGCGGCGCGCGCGATGGCCAGCCCGGCAGTCAGTGACGACAGCAGCTCTGCCGAGAAGATGGTGCGTCCGGACGACACCGACGGCGACGCACTGGCGCCGGCCAAACTGCGCAACAACAACGAGGTGGCCTACGCGATCATCGACGGCCGCGTGACGCAGGTGCAGGTGACCACTGCCGTCGACCTGGCCGCCGCCGCCGCCGAGGTCGACGCCGACGACCTTCCCGTCGATGTCGACGAGGATATGGACGGCGAGGAGCGAGACCAGGACGAGGACTCGATGGAGGTAAGGTCTGCCGCAGCGCCGCGGCGCGAGCGGAGCGTCCGTTCACGTGGAGCGCTCCGGCCCCGTGTGGTTGCAGTGTCAGCTGGGTGCCGCCGGGCCGGACGGCGTCCGTTCGTTCCGTGGCCGCCGGCGGCCGGCCGGGTGCCGCGGGCTCTGGGTGAGCGGTGCGGACCGCGGCCGACCGCCCGGGGCCTGCTTCCGGATCGTGCTGTAGTCCCCAGCCATTTCCAGCCGGCTGTCAGGTGGTTGTATTTATTCGTAGGTATTGGCCAGGTCAAGGTGTCTTTGGAAACATATTTCTCGGTGATAATTTGAATTCAGATAACAGGGAGACTTGATACCTGTTCGACTTGTCGGTATTTATTTTCCCCATGATGATCGGGCGTAGTGCTAGCGCACGCTCCGCACTGAGGTTTCTTACCGGTTGCGCGTTGAAGTCTCTCGTTTACACCTGCGGTCAACATGGAGACTGCATTGAAAAACAAGCAGATAACACCGAGCTGGCGCCTGGCATTGCACGGGTGGTCACTGCACAACTGGCTCACTTCTAACAAGTTTATTTATATTTTGGGCATTTTATGTCAGTTTTATAGCAGTTCATACACGTCTCTGCACAATGGAGGCCGACATGATTTCTGAAGCATACCTAATGCTGTGCATTGAAAAAAATGTTGTGCATTGTGCGGGCTACATCTATTGAAAAGAATCAATTCCATTGTATTGATATTGAGTGGAGTGAAGGTTGAATTGGATTATTTTAGAAGGGAAGGTTAAAGAAACATGACAATTGACATTGTTTGTCCATTCTACTGTAATTCTATTTGTTCCCGTAAGCTAGCAAAGCTTCGGAGGAATGCAATGAGGTTTACCACGAATTGAACCCGATGAATTATGAAATAATTTATTACAATCAAAATCAAAGATCAAGCTAACGAGAAGACTAATGATGAAAACCACATTCATATGCCTATACTCGGGCTTGTTTTGTATATCCAGCAATGTATATGTGCCTGCCTTCTTAGAACATTCAATCCCCTATTCCTGTATCCAGTTTCAGCGGCGTTTGACGGCGCCGTTGCGCCACGCGTCCCCCAGTGAAGAAATCGGGGGAGGGTGCGTAGATAACGGTCTGCGTGTTCCCGGGGTGGCCACGTGTTGACCATGTGCCCCTCCGTCCCCTTCGGACGCCGCCCGGGGCCCAGCGCCGCCGGCAGGGGCGCGTCCAGGCCACCGACCGGGGGTGAGGGAGGGAGGGGGTCACCGGCCAGCTCGCCGAACTCACCGGGTGGGGAATTTGCATGCCCGTTCCGCGGACCGCGCTCGGCGACCCCGGCGGGCGATCCGACTCGGCTGGGACTGCGGAGGTGTTTGCATCGGGTAACCTTGAGAAGGTCACCCCCGGCGAGTGGCCGCTGGCTGCGCCCGTGGCTGTGGGCCGCTCAGCCGCCGGACAGCTGCGCAGGGGCCCCGGCGCGGCCGGCCGGACACTGGGCAGCCTGCACCACCGCGCACCGGCCCAGCACCGATGGTCCTGGAAAATACCCGCACGGAACCGCGTGCCTGCATGACGCAACGAGGCCTCATAGCTGCGTAGCCGGACTCCACACTGCGTAGCTGCAGGTGCATATCTATGACATGTTACTATTGTCCCGCGTCGCTTCGGTATATAAAATGTACCACCGTGCTACTTGTGCAACAGTAGCCCCGAGCTACAGCACTGCAATCGTTTCGGCTCGCCACGGTTGTCTCAGTACGACTGTCTCGGTGCCATGGGGCGACTACTGGTGTTCATGGGATCAGATATGGATGGTCACAGACTCACAGTGGCGCTGATGCGTCGATATCTGATCTGTGTCTGGTCAGCATTGGTGACTGCGACGTCGGTGATACATGTCATGACCCTACAGGTCGGCCAGCTGTGGTTTGGATGGGGTCCGGACTGGGACCGAGACTAGAATTAAACTGCGGTCTGCTACTCAGAGTCACGGAGTAGAAAATCGGTGGTCTCAATGCCACTGACGTTTTGCCGGCGGGATTTCTCGGTGTCCAATGGGCGTCTCACTTCTTGCTGCACTCTCTTCGGCATCTCGCTGTCCTCTGGCCTCTCCCCTTCCCTCTCTGTCTCACTGCCACCTGTCTACTATCCACCTCATCCTTGGCCGCTCATCATGGAGCACCGTACCCCCAAAGTAGCGCTGGTACTTGTCCCCACCGGCAGTGACATTACCGTCCGCCCGGCGAGCTCCGACCCGACCGATCAGGTCGGTGAGCCGCTCGGACAGTCCTGTGACGTCATATCGAGCTGCGGCCACTCGCGGTCTGCATAAACAGTGACTGAGTATGACGGACTCCCCGCTCCTTTGCAAAGAGAGTGGGCAGATGTATAGTGTGCTGGTCGCTGAGCCTGACTGTTAGCTTTTGTCGCGCGCTTCCAGCTACATTCTCTAATACCGACTCCAGCTTTGTCTCCCGACCCCAGCTCTAGCCTTGTTCCTCAGTTTCCAGCCTATTCCCAGTCCTCTCCTCAGCCCCAGTCCCGTTCCACTCCCCAGGTCCCGGTCCCGTCCCCTGACCCCAGTCCCAGGTCCCCGGCCGGCGCTGTCCTATCACCTCCTCCCATCTGCGGGGCGGCGGTGGCCGCCGGGGAAAGTGGCCCCGAGATGCCGAGCTCCCTGCTCGATATTCCGTGCCGGCGCCATCCGAACTCCCCCGAGAGATCTGTGATCATCAGACGGCGCATGGCGGTCGGCCGGTTTTATTGGGGCGATCATATCCGACCGGCATCGAACGCACGCTCTATCCGGTAACGGCTGGTTCTCTGCCCGGTAACGGCTGGTTTTGAAACTTCTCATTACTTTTTGTACTATTTCCGGCAATTCTGCTATTTTTGTAGCTAACTACATATTTTAGATTTGTCTTCCTCACCTTTGGCACCAAAGACTCCGGATAATAATATAACATAATTCAACTCTCACCCCTCTTTCTCTCCTCTCTCCTTCTCTCTCTCTCGCCCTCTCTCTCTCTCTCTCTCTCTCTCTCTCTCTCTCTCTCTCTCTCTCTCTCTCTCCCATCCTTATGTCAGTCGCTATGGAGATGTGCGGTCAGGCCTGTTGAATATTTATCACATCACCGAGGCCCGGTGGATATCCATGAGCCGTTCCCTTGTCTCTGACTAAGATCCGGCGCCTGGCTCGGACGCGCTTGTTTGCTCTGTCAGCTGGATCTAATCAACACCCCTCATTGATTTGTAGGGGTGCTCGAGCGTTGCTCTTTGTTTGCCGAGTGGCCGGCAGCGGACGGCTGGCAGGTACTCTGTGGAGCTCACTCGCTGTATGGAACGGATCGGCTTGGTACCAGTCGCTGCCATCGCCCGTGGCTGCCTGTTTGGTTACCAGTCGTGTGGTATTTCCGCCCCGATCGCGTGTGTCGCCCGCTGTTCATGACCGGTAGCCGAGCCTGGAACTTGTTCGTTTCCCTGTTGGCTGCTTATCTGAGCAGTTTGGTAGTGTTTCCGACACAGCGCCGTCTCATTGTCACCTGCTGCACGAGCACCTGCTAGTGTAACCGGCTGACTGAATGATCAAACCACTTGTTTTAGACACTTGTCATTGCGCCGTAGCGCTACTGGCCTGACATAGAGGTGGCTAGCTGATGTAGCTTTACCCTCCGAATTTAGCCGATGTAGCTTCACCCTCGTACCCTCCGAAGCCGCCGGGAGGAGCCCTCTGTGACAGGTGGGACGTGCGCTGCCACCAGTCCCGGTGCGCGCCTAATCGGGTCCGTTACGCCTGTCGCCCTGCCCTCCCCAGAGTGTAAGGCCTCGCCGGAGCGCGGTCCGCTCCCCGATCCCGCCCCTGTGGCCTTTGGGAGGTTCGGGGTTCGTGCGCCTCAGCAGCTTGGACCACATCTCCCTCCGTCCCACCAACGCTGTGCGTGCCATCGCTGGTGTTCGAAACAGGTGGGAAATATGCAAGGAAGCTGATTAGGGGGAGACGAAGCGGCAAGAAAAGCCGAAAGTTTTTTTTTTTGGGAGAGGAGGGTCAACAAAGGGGTGGGAGGAGGAAGCTAAAGGGAGCGAGAAGATATCCAAGACAAATCTGAACTGTGGGTCCCGGGAGTAGGGCGTGATGTAAACAAAAATGTGGGGGAGGGGAGTCAGGGGGCAGCCGGACTGGGAGGGGGTCAGGCCGGACCGGCAGGCGGCGCCCCTGTGGTCGGTGATCAGAGGCCCACAGAGCCCACCGTTCGCTCCCAGGCCGTCCACCATCTGTCTGACGGCGAGCAAGGTCATCCCGCCGGTCCCAGCGGCGCCGTCGGTCGGGGGACGCGGGCGACGCTCAAGGCGAACGGTCGCCGGGCGAGGTCAGAGCCAGCCTCGCGGGCGCCCCAGCTCGCTCTCGGCCGTGGCACGGCGCGGCTCGGAGGCGGGTAGTGGCGGTGTGACCCTCGCAGCTCGTGTTCCGGGACAGCTCAGGGTAGCCAGAGGTGCCGCGAGATGCAGCGAGATGTTGTGCGATGTCGTGCTTCTTGAAATGCACGAGTTTCTCTTTTGGGGCATCTGTTCATAATTGCTGTGTTGAGGATTTGCCTGGCCCGTAAACGGTGAACTAAATCAAGGCCACCAGAACACTCAATGCTCAGTTTTTGTCACTGGTTCAGTCGCTGGAGGCAGCTGTTCCGAACCGATGACGCCGATCTCTGATGACGCGGCACCGATGTCGGCCGTCTGGGGTCACCTGTAGGAGAGGCCTCCTGTGGTTTTAGTGGCTGTCCGCCGGCGGGATCTGGCAGTGACGGTCGCGCGTGCTGGGAGACTCAGCTGCTCTTGACCTTGATCAAGAAATGTTTCGTCGGCTTTTCGTTGTGCATTGTTCATTGAAGCCCACTGAGCTATGTTGGACGTCATCCGAGGCGTGAGGTAGTACGAGATTTTAGTGCGACCCAACTACTTTGCTGCGAGATTACATGTACTTTTTAAGGGCGGTGAGATTTACTCACTA